GATTAGGGCCATTAAAAAGGAGTCAAGTATTTTGTATCAGGACTATAGCAAAGATGCAGAAGCATTTTAAAGTACCTCAGGAATTGGCTAGACCACACCCATGGGAGACTCAATGCTACAAAGTTTTACTCATTCGAAGACTTCACTTTCAGAAGACAGTGCCAGAGTACCCTGCTGGCAAAGTGCTGCCTAGGGAAGTCTTTTCCCACTCCCTTCAGCCATCCAGGAATAAGAGGTCATTGTAACTATTATTTGAGCTGTTAGCCAATCTTGATATCATCCATGTGAAGCTAGTTTTTCAGATATGCAGAATGCAAGAGTTATGGGATCATGTAAGCTTCTATTCAGACTTAAAAGGAAAGCCTAGGAGGCCAGGCAATGTGTGCAGGCTTCCCTGAAGGAAGCCCCTGAGAAGGTAATGTGTGAAGTTGTGAGGGCAAAGCCAAAGACACAATGGAAATCCCAGGAAGTTAGAGATGCCAGGAACATAGAATATCTGCCAAGGAAAACTGTAGGCAGTGAGCACAGCCAACCCAAGAGAAAGAGAGAGCCCATGTGGGTTGCAGTGGACAATGTCATAGGTGTAGAGCCCTTCGGAACTCACATCATGCCCTTCTATGCTCTGGATGCTGGGTGTGGAGATGCAGGATTTAATGTTTGCCCTGCTGGGGTTTGGTCTTGCTTTGGCCCAGTCCTTCCTTGGTATTCTTCTATTCCTCAGTTTTGGAATGGGAACGTTTATTGTGTCACTATATGTTGGAAATATATAATTTGCTTTTTAATTTTACAGTGGTTCACAGCTAAGAGTTTGCCTTGAATCTCAGAGAAATTTTGGATTAGACTTTTGAGCAATGTTGTAATTGTTAAGATTATGGAAACTCTTGGAGATTGACTGAATGCATTTTGCATTATGAGATGGACAAGAATCTTTTGGGGCCAGATATGGAATGTTATGGATTAACATGTGTTAGGGTGTAAAATTGACAATGGGTGGATTTATGATGGTTAATCTTTATTCTCAACTTGATTGGATTGAGAAGTGCCTTGGAGGTTGGTAAAGCACACCCCTAGGTGTATCTGTGAGGGCCTTTCCAGAGAGGATTAACTAAGGAGTTTAGGGGAAGACCTGCCCTACACATGGGCACCACCATCCGAAGCAACTATCATTTTCACACCCATTAGCCATGTGGAGAGTTTCTGTTGCTTCCATATCTGTACCAAATTTGGTATTATTAATAATTTTAATTTCAGCCATTCTGGGTGACTTTTGTGATACTTAATTGATGCTTTTATTTGCATTTCCTTGATAACTAATGATGTCAAACATTGTTTTGAAGTGTTTATAGGCCATTTATAACTTTTCCTCTGTGAAATATTGTTCAGGCTTTTATACAATTTTTATTTGGGTAATTTATTTTTTTAGTTTCAGTGATATATATATATATATGTGTGTGGGTATTATAACTTCTTTGTCAGATATATGTGTTACAAATATTTTCTCCCAGTCTGGTACTTATTTTTTAAATAATATATCTTGTCATGTGGAAGTTTTAAAATTTTAATGAAGCCCAATTTATCAATGTTTCATTTTGTGGTTAGTGCTTTCTATATTCTAAGAAATTTTTGCTTATACCCATGGCATGAAAATATTTTCTATGTTTATTTTCATAGCTTAATAGTTTAAATCTATAATTCATCTCAAGTAATTTTCTTGTGTGTGATATGAGGTAGGGCCCATGTTATTGTTTTTCCTATATGGATATCTAGTTGTTTCTGTGTCTTTTTAAAATTACACTTTCCTTTTCCCTTTGAGTTTCTTAGGTGTCCCTGCTGAAAATCATTTTACCATAAATGTGGGTAATTTTCTGGACTATTTAATTTGTTTCGTGAATTTACTTGTCTACCCTTTGCCATATTGTGTTGATAAATGTAGTTTAACAGTAAACCTTAAAATCAGGTTGAGTAAGTCTTCCAAATTTGTTTTGCCTTTTCAAGATTGTTTTGGATCCTTTAGATTCTTATCTTATAAAATTTTAAATCAGCTTGCCAATTTCACTTGTTGCCAAGCAGCTATGGGGTTTCCTCAATCCTAGAAGCTTGTCACCACTTTTTGGAATTTGGTCCATTAGATTACTTTACTGCCTGAACTCTCTTACAGGCTTTAAAAATTTGTGATTTTGTAGGTTATTTGGCTTGTTCTTGTTGTTTGGATGGGTACGATGTTTTGTTGTATCTTTCTACATGTCTACTGGAAGTTAAATTCAACATAGATTTTATATTGAAATGATTACAAGCCAATTCTAATTGACTTTTTAATGTGTTCTCTTCAAATTCTCTATCATCATTGAAAACAGTTTCACATAGAAGTGAAAAAACATTTAAAACCATTTTAAACAGCCAAACACTTGCAAGAGTTAAAGCTATATCTAAAGACTTTAATAGCATTTTCTTGTCTTTTCTTGGCAAATGAAAAAAGATGTAATGTTAAATTTTATTTCATAGCAATGTAAATGCAATTCAAATGCAAACCAGCTTTTGCATATTAAGTATGTGAAAATAACAATGGAGCTCTAATTTATAGACTATGCATTGTACAGTAGCCACTGAGAAGTTAACTGGGTTGCTACTAAGAGCCCATCAGCTACAAAGGACAATTATCTGATATAGTTTAGAGAGTTGAGATTTGAGGTACTGAAGGAAACACAATCAGTATGTGCAAGATGGATCCACACTACCAGGCTCATTGCAGCGTTATTCAGATAGTCAGGATATGGAGTTAATCTAGGGTAAAGAAAATGTGGCACACATGCGTGCACACATACACACACATGAAATCATATTCAGCCTTCAAAAGGAAGGAAATATTGTCACCTTCAACAACAGGGAAATAAGCCAGACACAGAAAGACAAATATGACATGACCTCATGAATATGTGGAATCTGAAAAATTCAAATTTATAGAAGCAGAGAGTAGAATGGCTATTACTAGATGATTTAGGGTTGGGGAAAGCAGGGAGATGTTGGTTAAAGGACAAAAAATTTCCACTAAACAGGAAGAATAAATTCAAGAGATTTGTTGAACAACATTGTGATAGTAATTAATAATGTATTATGTGAAATTATAAAAGACTTGATGTCACTTTCTGTGGTTTAAATGCTTCCTCTAAAATGCAAGTGAGCCAATGTGGTGGTATTAAGAGGTGAGACCTTTGACCATGAGGGCTTCTCCCTCATAAATGGGGTCAAGGTCCTTTTTTAAAAATTTTTTTTATTTTTTATTTTTTATTGTTTTATTATTCATATGTGCATACAATGCTTGGGTCATTTCTCCCCCCTGCCCCCACCCCCTCCCTTACCACCCACTCCACCCCCTCCCTCTCCCCCACACCCCCTCGATACCCGGCACAAACTATTTTGCCCTTATCTCTAATTTTGTTGAAGAGAGAGTATAAGCAATAATAGGAAGGAACAAGGGTTTTTGCTAGTTGAGATAAGGATAGCTATACAGGGAGTTGACTCACATTAATTTCCTGTGCATGTGTGTTACCTTCTAGGTTAATTCTTTTTGATCTAACCTTTTCTCTAGTTCCTGATCCCCTTCTCCTATTGGCCTCAGTTGCTTTTAAGGTATCTGCTTTAGTTTCTCTGCATTAAGGGCAACAAATGCTAGCTAGTTTTTTAGGTGTCTTACCTATCCTCACCCCTCCCTTGTGTGCTCTTGCTTTTATCTTGTGCTCAAAGTCCAATCCCCTTGTGTTTGCCCTTGATCTAATGTCCACATATGAGGGAGAACATACGATTTTGGGTCTTTTGAGCCAGGCTAACCTCACTCAGAATGATGTTCTCCAATTCCATCCATTTACCAGCGAATGATAACATTTCGTTCTTCATGGCTGCATAAAATTCCATTGTGTATAGATACCACATTTTCTTGATCCATTCATCAGTAGTGGGGCATCTTGGCTGTTTCCATAACTTGGCTATTGTGAATAGTGCTGCAATAAACATGGGTGTGCAGGTGCCTCTGGAGTAACCTGTGTCACGGAAGAGGATTTTCATAGTTTGGCTACTTGCCCAACTGCCTTCTGATGTATGAGAACACACCCTTTTCCCCCTCTGGTGGATGCAGTGTAAAGGTGCTACCTTAGAAGAGGGAGGTAGTTTTCAACATACAGATGAACCTTCTGGCACCTTGGTCTTGGATTTCCCAGTCTCCAGAACTGTGAGAAAATAAGTTTCTGTTCTTTATAAATTGCCCAGTCTCAAGTATTCTGTTAAAGCAGCACTGCAGAAAACAGATTAAGATAGTGTTCTAGCCACCAAAATGGTAAGTATATAAGGTAATGCATAGGTTAATTATCTTGATTTAGCCATTACACAATGTGTACATATATTAAAAATTCATGTTTCATACCATAAATATACAAATTTTATTTGTCAACTTAAAAAAATTGAAAGGGATTTGAGGTTACTGACTAGAGCTGTGCCTGCTAGGGGTCCTGACCACCTTCACCATAAGACACACCTCAGAACCTCAGGTTCTGCTCTTTGGCTAAGACTAATGTGGGCCCATAGGTGCCAGGTTCCTGATGAGGAGATGAATGCTGTTTTGCAGCTGACTACAGATGTGGAAGTCCAGATGGCATGACATTTGGGATGCCACTTGAGAGAACCATGGGCCTTCCTTTAGACTTTGCCACTCATAGACCACCCTTCAAGGAACCCTGGAAGAGGATTCTTGTAGATAAAAGTACCTGCTTTGTGTTTCACCTCTCCAGGCCTCTTAACTGCACAGGGGTCTGGTAGAACCTATATGTCTAGATCCATCTTCATCCACTGGCAGCAAACTCATTGGGAAGCTCAGAGACAGAGTGCACCTCCACTCTGTAGCTGAGAACAGAACCACAAGGTGGCAGTCTGCTGGAGAGAGAGTATAGTTAGAGGGCTCTAAAAGAGGTTGGAATCTTGACTTTACCACTTAACTAACTGTAGGTCGTGGGATGAACAACTTGCCTTTCTATGCCTTCTACACCTTCATCTCCTTTGTAAGGTGACAAGTTACTCTCACCACACACCTTACTGCGCTAATCCTAGTGCAATACAGGCCTGTTGCAAGTATTCCAAAGGTGTACTTTTTTAGTAGAAGAAGTCTTGTGATCCTGACATCACAAACAGGAGACTGCCTCTACTTCCCTTTTATAAACATTTCCCTAAAATGTGAATATGTGTTCTGTGGGGAAGAAGCCACAGCAAACACATTTGTAGGATAAAAAAAAATTGGGAAATGCTATATATTACATGTCCCTTTGAAGCTTCGCAGCATGTGTTTGCACATCAAAGCTTCTGAGATGCTCCATTTTAGAGAAATTTCTTCTATTTCAGGATGTCTTAAATGTATTTGTACATGAAACACTTTTTTGTGGTCCACTTATTAACATCCGGTGTAACTGTTTTCACCTGTCAACATTCCTATTTAAAAACATTCCTTCAATACCAGGCAGAAAAAGAGGGGCTACTGTTTATGGACATAAGAGCAAAATAAAATAAAATAAAGTATATGGTGCATTAAAATGGAAAATTCCTTAGGCTACTTCTGTGAAGTGGAGTTTGAGCAAAGCAAATAAAACATAATTCCAGAATCTAGTAGTTTCCAGAAGCAGAGCAGGTTCTGAGAATTCTAATCACCAAGTTGATGAGACTGCATTTGTAGAAAAATGGAGAGCAATATTGGCTACAGCTTAGTTCATCAGCCAGCCAATTGGTTACATTCTACCTAGTCAGTTGTTTGCAGCCTTTGGATGGTCATCCAGGAGGCCCTGCAGCCATTCAAGGCTCATGTCCTACGATTGACCTCTAAATTGTTTGGTCTATTGGACCCAGTGTAAATGTCTGCTCTAAATCCATGGCTTCCTACAAAATTTTACTTACAGGCAAATTATTTAAAGTGACAAAAAATAATAAGGGATATAAATATGGATAAAACTCTATTAGAGGTAGAGGTTAGTGTGATGGCATAGATGAGCTAATCTTCTCTAGTAAAGGAAGCTAAGAGATCTCCCAAAGTGGTATACAAAGCAAGAGTGGCACACATTATTTGTAGAATAGATCAGAAGCTATGCACGCAACTGAAATTGCTATCATTACAACACCTCATATTAAACCTGATTTTTAAAAAGTGCATGTATTACTTGTACAAAAATTTACCAAAAAAAAAAAAACCCTTTGCATATTCTAAGTTTCTAGGTTTGTTTTTCTCTAGGCTGGGCCAATCCTAAAACTAATGGAAAAGGGAATGTGGAGGGAATAAGGAATCTCCACAACACCACCCCCACAAATCTAACAGCAAATGCAACCGTGATTGATCACCGTTAGCCAACTGGAACTTCATGGACTGCTTCCCACTCGCTCCCTTTCCGTTTTGTGTTTGCTTTAATCATCTATCCTCCTCCCCGACTTCTTTTCTTCACATTTCACGCCATGCTGCAGTTCTGTATTGCAGTGGAAGATTAAAAAGAAGCCACTAAGCCCAGGGCAAGTGGCTGATTGGTGAATTCAGCTACCATACTATCTCCACAATATTATAACTATTTTTCCTCCCAGCAACTTCATATATGTCTGCTCCTTTGTGGATTTTTTTTTTTTTTTAACAAGCAGAGTCTGAGAATTCACTCTGAACCCTAAACTAAGAGGAATTTCAAGGTGTGGCAAGCTTGGGAAATGGTGTCCTTGCCTCCTTAAATGGCCAAAGCAAATCAAGGTGCCTGACTGGCTGATGAAATGATTGATTCTGCCTGGATTTAATTCCTTGCTTTTCTGGAATTCAGCTGTGGTCTGGATTAAAGTATTAGTCTTTTATCTAGAGACTTGTATTTAGTTGTCTTTAGTGTTCATGTGCTCTCATTAAGGACTAATCTTTATCCTTCAAAAATACAGTTCAGAATTCACCTCCCTTCTGAGCACACTTTTCCCTTGCCTGGGACCCCATTTTCCTCCTTTCCTCACTTTTACTCACAATTGCCCAGAAGTTTTCCCATACATCTTTGCTTGCTCTACTGCAATCTATATACCTGTTGTTCTTCACTTGCTAAAAAATACATCTTAGACACACAGCTGGTATGTACAGTCCCTTCTCTCTTGAGTGTACATGCACATGATATTACTCCATTGATCAGGTGACTTTATATGGCAGAGGTGATGGGATAGTCACTCTGTGATTCCCTTAAGGCTGCAGGAATGCAGTCTTGCCCATGACTTGATTTTAGCCCACCAGGACTGATTACGGACATCTGACCACCAGCACTGTGAAATAATAAATTTGTGTTGTTTTAAATCACAAACTGTGTGGCAATTTGTTATTGTAGCAACAGGAAGTTAATACAGACTTCAACTCCTGCCCCACTCTGCAAAATCTTAGTGGGACTATCAATTCCAGTGCTTACTCCCCTTTCTCCCAAAGAGAGGACACAACTCAGATATTGCCTCCTGAAGTTTGAATTTTAAGTGAACAGAGACCAGAGTAAGATGGAAGGCAGTCGCAGCTAAGTTTTCTCAGTGGCACTACCCAGAGTAATGCTTGTCATCAACCTCAGTCAACAGCTGAGCTCCCCATAGGCCCGTCCTTTCCAAAGGTGAGTGTTCTGCTACCCCTTGAGTCAATTGGTGTCCCAATATCTTCCTTTGTGATAAACTTCATTTGTTGCTTAAGTGAGCAAACATGCAATTTCTTTTACTTGCGACCCCAAATTTACCAGCTACCATTGGTCAGTAGTTACCACCTTCCCCCCAGCTTGACTTCCTTTTTCAGGTAATGTGCTATGTGCTTTAACTACATTTTAACTTTTTTACAACAGTTAACTCTTTACACTCTTAATGCTACAATAACTTACAATAATTCAAGAATCAGCTATTATTAGATCCATTTCACTAACAGAAAACAGACACAAAGAGGATGCTCAGCAGGACTTAGATATTTCATGGTAGCACCTGAATTCAAACATGGCTTTCTTATTTTCAAAAGTCTATTAGCCCAGCCACTAAACTATATTGCTTTAAAATAAGTAGTGGCCACCAAAGATGAAGCAAGCATTCCTCACAGAACAGGAGAATCTAAAGTAAAGGGCGATGATGTTGCAGTTGATAAGGAGGCTGAAGTAGGAGAATATTTTCAGAAAGGAAGAAAACCTTGGGGCAGAGGAATTAACCCATGATGGTTGTTCCTCCCTCCCAGTATTATATTCTGAGCTGCAATGTTTGGACAAAAATAATATGTAAAAGAATGATGAGAAACAGATGGCATGGTTCTGGTTCCAAGTTTTGGTAATCTAGCTCTGATGAGAAGACCAAAGATAGAAAAGAAAGAGCTACTGGGAAGATTAAAGGAAGTAATGCAAGGACATTCTTAGCAGGGTCTTTGACAACTAATGAAGCTAAGTAAACATTTATTCTAATTTCAGGACCAGCAACTCCTTCACTGGGGAGAGATCCTTCCTTGAGATAGCTGTGTAGTGCATCCACCTGAGATTTGTCTTAGCTTGCAGCCCTAATCCAAAATTGGTCAGTTTCCTGCTTACTATCTAAAGGGATCTTATTTTCCTTCTGTTTAACTTCCGGGTGGGTATTTCATGTTGGCTCCTATCTATTACCACCAATGCCTGTTATGTAATGAAATGAGATGAGCTTTCTCTATCCTCTCTCCCTCCCTTTCCAAACTAGATTGCCAGAAGACCCTCTTTGCTGAGAAGGAGATGGTGTCTGCATAAAAATATTTGGCGTTGTGCTTTTAGCTAGGGAAAGACTGGATTATTTCAGCCAGATACAGTATTGCCAGAAGGAAAGAGAGGGCCTAAAATCTTCAACTCCAATGCTAGCTAAAGGAACTGTGGCTGCCAGAGTCCTGAGTTGAGAGAAAGAAGGAATAGTGGAATGGCAGAGATAACAAAGAGCCAAAGGAGAGAGGAACTGAGAGTGAATAGAGAGCAAGTGGATCAAGAAACTATGCCAAGAAACAAGGAAATCCAGTCACTCATTCTAGGGTTGTTCATGGATATCTACTGTTTCAGAGAATCTGCTTATAAGAAAAGAAGGCCCCTGACTTAAGAAACTCATGACAGTAAAGTTGTGGACAATAAATGTATCAACAAATGGTAAACAAGATGATTTCAGAGAGTGATAAGTACTAAGTAATAAGACAAGGATAAGAGGATTCTGTAACAGACAGTGCTTGGTGGTGGGAGAAAAGGAGCAATATTGGGTAAGAAGACCTGGGAAAGCGGCTGAAGAGGTGATAGTCAAGTTGAGACCTGAATGACAGGAAGGCAACATGTGGAGATGAAAAGAAAGAATGTTCTAGACAAAAAACATATAGTAAGTTCATCCCAGAGGGGAAGAGAAAGACTGGTCCAAGCAGGAGAGGAGAATAAATTCAATGTCTTGGTGGACTTGCACGTGGAGTGGTCAAGTGATGAAAAGTAGGTAGGGGGCTAGAACCTGAAGCATGTTGTTTATACTCCATCCATGGGATGCATTGGTATGGGCATGATTGTCCTCTGGGAGGGGGTTTCTCTTGGATGCATAGTGCACCCCCAGTGTCAAGGAAAAGGCAGGGATGATGATGATGAATCCCAATACAGAAATAGCAAATGAGTGGTAGAGTCTGGGTTTAAACCCAAGTCCACAGAAATACTCTCTGTCCAGCTCTGGAACTGCTTTCTTTCAAGGAAGTTTATTTTCTTCTCTTTCTACAATGTGATAAAGAAATGTGGACATCATTCTTAGTTAACATGAACCTGCATTACTTGGCAGTTCTATTATTTTCCTCCTATTATTGTCTCGATCTTTCTTTTTCTTATAAAGCAAAGTCTGTTTCTCTTCACGTATTTTATTTCTCTTCTGCTCCACCTCAGTGGGCCTCTAGACATCAGATCTTCTTAGCTAGTATGTAACAGACAGGGTTTTGGCTTTTGGCTACACTGTTACCTACCAAGTATCCTAAAGCATGGGGAGGCTGGGGCCCAGGTCTTATACACCCCTTCTGGTCATTCCAAAGTTCTCACTTATCCTGAGGGTTGACATTGCAGACAGTCTCAAAGATCACAGGAGGTACCAGAATTTTGGGCAGAGCCTGGTAAAGACACAAATTCCAGCTTTATTACTAGAGATTCTGATTCAAAGAACCTGGGACAGTGTTGGTGAGGATGTGGGGAAAAAGGAACCCTCTTACACTGTTGGTGGGAATGTAAACTAGTACAACCACTCTGGAAAATTTTGGAGGCTACTTAAAAAGCTAAACATTGATCTACCATTTGATCCAGCAATACCACTCTTGGGGATATACCCAAAAGACTGTGACACAGGTTACTCCAGAGGCACCTGCACACCCATGTTTATTGCGGCACTATTCACAATAGCCAAGTTATGGAAACAGCCAAGATGCCCCAGCACTGACGAATGGATGAAGAAAATGTGGTATCTATACACAATGGAATTTTATGCAGCCATGAAGAAGAATGAAATATTATCATTTTCTGGTAAATGGATGGAATTAGAGAACATCATTCTGAGTGAGGTTAGCCTGGCCCAAAAGACCAAAAATCGTATGTTCTCCCTCATATGTGGACATTAGATCAAGGGCAAACACAACAATGGGATTGGACTTTGAGCACATGATAAAAGCAAGAGCACACAAGGGAGGGTGAGGATAGGTAAGACACCTAAAAAATTAGCTAGCATTTGTTGCCCTCAACGCAGAGAAACTAAAGCAGATACCTTAAAGCAACTGAGGCCAATAGGAAAAGGGCTCAGGAACTAGAGAAAAGGTGAGATCAAAAAGAATTAACCTAGAAGGTAGCACCCACCCACAGGAAATTAATGTGAGTCAATGCCCTGTATAGCTATCCTTATCTCAACCAGCAAAAACCCTTGTTCCTTCCTATTATTGCTTATACTCTCTCTACAACAAAATTAGAAATAAGGGCAAAATAGTTTCTGCTGGGTATTGAGGGGGTGGGGAGGAGAGGGAGGGGGTGGAGTGGGTGGTAAGGGAGGGGGTGGGGGCAGGGGGAGAAATGACCCTAGCCTTGTATGCACATATGAATAATAAAATAAACAAACAAACAACAACAACAACAAAAAAACAAAGAACCTGGGACAGATCCCAGGAATCTACATTATAAAAGATAGTGCCATCAATTTTTTTCCTCTAAATCAGATTATATCTGATCCCCTTGACAGAAATCGTCTGACTTCATCTTTTAATTCAAACATGGGTTAATAAGAGATTCAAAAGCATGATTTAATACTTCTTAAATATAATTGGAATTAAATAAAATTATTAAATATAATTGGGAAATAAAAAATACATATTACATAAAGGTTAAGGTGAAGTAAATATAATGTATCTTCTTTATACTAAGTTGAAAATACAGCTTTAAAAATCAGATTATTTCTTATTTATTGGAAGTAATCTGGCTCTAAGTCTCAATCTCAGGTAGTTTTTGAGACCCAATCTGTCCCAGGGGTCATAGACTCAAGAAGGGCTAGACAGTTTCTGAGAAGTGGTCCACTAATAGCTACATTTTCTCTGGC